CTAGCACACTTCTGCCCAGAAGAGCAGCCATCATTGGCGCTGCCTGTCATCTGCACTGCTAGCACACTTCTGCCCAGAAGAGCAGCCATCATTGGCGCTGCCTGTCGTCTGCACTGCTAGCACACTTCTGTACAAAGCCATCTTACCAGCCTTTTTGACCCCAGGGAAAACCAGGGTGCCGGAGCTCCTACCACAACCACTCGACAGAAGGCAATGTGTAATAATGGCAAGTGACTCCACATTCTAACAGGTCAATGATTAGCGTTGACCCCTATGCTCGCGGGGCTCTGGGCAAGTGCCCAGCGTGCCCATGCGTTAGATCAGCTCTGGTTCTGTTGTCTTGCGGGACTGAACAGAGTCCTTCTAGTTGTATATACAAACATGTTTGTTTGTTTGTTTCTAGCAGACAGAGCCCTAAACTGCAGCACAACAGTGTGTCCGCAGCTCAAAGTTCCACAGATGGGCAGTAATGGTATTTGTGAATGTGGTGAGTACAAGAGAACACAATAAGGTCTGCTTACGTTTATCATATATAAGGATTCCTGTTGTAAAGGTTTCTATATTACTCCTACCTCCTCTTTGTTTCTCTCTATCCCTCTCTCACTGTCCTACTTTCTCTCTCATTCTCTCGCACACACTCTCTCTGTCTTCTCTCTGTCTATCCGCCTCTATTTGTATTTATTTCTTCGTCTCCTTATACCCCACTAATTGTTCTTTATTATTCGATTCTCTCGTGATCGTTCAATCTCACTGGCTCTTCCTGGCTTCACTTACTTGAAGAGCCGACACTCTGGAGACCCATCTACTGGCCTTGCTGCCACTGCTGTGCTGCTGTCCTAACCCTAACTCGTTTTCAGAGTTCCTGATCTGTTGTTTCACCATGTATCTGTGGCCAAGGCTTTTGACCACATTATGACCACTCACTTTCTCTTTATGCCTGTCTAGATCTGTTTTTCTGTCTGCCTTTCTTCTCTGTCAGTCTGTTTCTCTCTGACTGACTCTGACCGTCTCTCTCTGTCTGCCTGTTCCCCCATACACCAATTTTCTGGCTAACTCATTTGTTAATTATATTTAAGATTTTTATTCGACTCAGAAACATGGAAATCAAACAGGTAATTAGGAAGCCGCCTGAAATGAGATCCTACAGATATGGACCAGTAAGAGTACATAGGAAACACAAACAATCAAACACAGGGATTCCGCAGCAACTTGACAATGAAAGATATGGCTGTTGAAAGAAATCAAAATAAGGCATTTGAAGTAACTTGGGCACACCAAATGATAAGCCCACTGTAGAGCAAATATACTGGGCAAAAACATAAGAATAAGTGAGAAGGCGGCATTTAGAAAGATAAGTGGTAACATAAAGGGATGAATAATAACAATCTGTAGAGAGTCAATCTAGGTTGTAAATCCTTTAATTTATTGACACATAAACTTGTATTCTAACTTCAAATAGAGTGATGAATTATACGTATAGTATTCAGTCTGTCTGACGAAATTTTGTACAGTTCTTGTAACGGTATTTCTAGCTATAGGAACTGTACTTGATGTCAAAGGAAGGGCGAGAAAGACATACATTTGGACGATTTCTGGTACCATCGGAGGTGGAACTCTGTGCTTGCTGCTGAAGATAAAGACGAAGCACTTATGGAAATGCCCCGATTGCTATGATGTCGGTTTTTAACTCATAAATCATTTAGCAGTAGTTTTACTGATTCATTACCCCTCTGATTCTAATTTTTTTTGGCTACGTGCCAGAATAAGCCAACTGTCCAGTATAAATGTAATAAACTGTGTCTATCTTTCTCAGTTTGCCAGGTTAACCGATGTCCTAACAACGCCAACCTCACCTCTGACTGTGGTTGCGCATGTCTGGACCCTCAGCTTGTCTACAGTCCCACCACCAGCCAGTGTGGTAAGTGCACACCATTCGTACATTCATTAGGACCACTGTCAGCTTATTAGTTCATTATTTTCTATAATTTAATCATAGATAAAAAAAAAATTTAAAAAAAACACACTCAACAATAACGTTTGAATGAAAGCCTGAAAGATGTATACACTAATAGTTAAAAGAGCTTCTCTTCATTGTGATTTAATCTGATCCAAATCCCACTCACCCTGTTCAATCTTAACAAACAGATGTATTGGGGCACTCTATGGTTGCGAGGATACCTGCTCTCCAAGGGTGCTGGCTACTGACAGCTTTGGCACCTTGAGTTCCCTACACTTCCCTGACATAAACAAAATAGTTTTGGGGTGAAAACCGCCCCTTAACAAGATACCGTAGTTCTTATTTGAAGTGCTTGTTTACATACTAAATTATTTAACACTTTATAAATTTTCGGGGCTGCTTTTCAGCATAATAATGTTATTACTATTATTATTATAATCAGGACTTTGGGATAAGGCGAACTGAAACAGAATTTATACAGTTTATGAGGAGTACTGTCACAACTCTGTGTGTGTGTTTGTGTGTGAGTGTGTGTTTGTGTGT